TACTCCTGTACAGTAATACATTTATTACATACTTTATCACCCAGGCATGCTTACAGCCCATACAAACTCAACTACTTTCTGTCCTCATCACACAGCAAACCAAGTCAATCAGTCCCTGCAATGTTTTTTCTCTGTCAGCCCTGGTATTCGAACCAGAACCCTCCGGTTACTGGATGTCTCTCTAACCTTGAGACTGTTAAGTTATGAAGTGAGGAGACATGGACACCATAGTTGGTAGGAAACATTAATGACATAATCTCTGCCTTTCAACACAGTATTTATCATCAACTCGGTCACCTTGCGCTCCCCTACGGAGAGGGACATGTGACTACTCCCACAGACTACCATCCACTCCATTGATGATCATTTGCTCTTGTCTTGCAGGGTGGTCCCGGGAGCACCTGGGGAACAGGAAGTGGCATCTCCTTACGATCCACTCGGTGGAGGAGGGGGACCTGGAAACTACTCCTGCTATGTAGAGAAGGGCAACGGGAGACGGCAGGCCGCATCCAACTCTCCAAAGGGGTAAGGAAGGGTTCTCTCACACACCCATACTCCACAAACACTCTCCAAATGTGGTAAGGCTCTCTCACACACCATAACCCACAAAACACTCTCCAAATGGGGTATAAGTGTACCCACATAGTCTTTAGCTGACGTTTTTATAGCCCAGACCGCATATATGTCTCTCTCCTCCCTACATTTAACATTTTAGTCCATTTAGCAGACGCTCTTATATAGACCCCACTTACAATTAGTGCATTCATTTTTAGATAGCTGGGTGAGACAACATCATATCACAATCGTATAAATTATTTTTTCCCTCAAGTATTGAGAGGGCGCCGAGAGAGTTATTTAGGATACTCTTCAAAGGGGTTGGGTTTCAGACGTTTTCGGAAGATGGGCATGACTCCCTCTCTCTTTTCCTCTCTTTCTCCATCTCTCTTCCCATACCCTTTTTCCCAATATTTCCTCCTCTCCCTCCTCTCTCCATCCATACCCTTCTTCCAATATTTTCCTCCTCTCCCTCCATCTCTCCATCCATACACCCCCTTCCCCAATATTCCTCCTCTCCCTCCATCTCTCCATCCATACCCCCTTCCAATATTCCTCTCCTCCCTCCCCTTCTGTCTCTCCATCTCATTCAGTCTTCACACCCACCAGTCTGTGTTAGGTTCAGAGCTCCTTTATGTTTGCCACCGAGCAATCATTTGGGTTTACACTCCATTTCATTACGTTTTTCCCTTTTCTGTTGTTGGTCCGCACGGCTGCCCGCTATCTTCCTTCTCTGGCATGACTTGTTCTAGGCTCTCTTTATTGTTGTCACTTAAGCAAAAATAGCTAATTTGGTGGTTATTTAAGCAGCAAATGGCTTCTCCCCTGCCTTTCCCAACAGACAGTAAGTTTTGCATACAATTACATGTGTGTGTGTGTTTGTGTGTGCGTTGCGTGTGCGTGCGTGTGCGTGTATGTGTGCTTGTTCGTCTTTGTAGACAGCCTAGAAATTGAGAGGGCGCTCTTTGTAGCCAATCCAGTTCCATTTCACTGACTGTGGGAGAAGAACATCATTTAAACAGTGTTCTCTCCCTCTGTTCTCTCCAGTGTTCTCTCCCTCTATCCTCTATCTCTCTCTCCTCTCGTTCTCTTCTCTAATCTCTGTCGTTTTAGTGATTATCCTGATTTTTATTTCATGTTTCTCCTCCCAGGATGCGGTATTTATGATTGCTGCACAAGGAAGAAGGAAGGAGGGAGGGGGTGGGCTCTGTCTGAGGGGGCTTTCCTCATCTGGAAGGAGGGGGAAAGGGGGGAGGGAGGGAGGGGGTGGGCTCTGTCTGAGGGGGCTTTCCTCATCTGGAAGGAGGGGGAAAGGGGGAGGGAGGGAGGGGGTGGGCTCTGTCTGAGGGGGCTTTCCTCATCTGGAAGGAGGGAGGAAAGGGGGAGGGAGGGAGGGAGGGGGTGGGCTCTGTCTGAGGGGGCTTTCCTCATCTGGAAGGAGGGAGGAAAGGGGGAGGGAGGAAGAGATTGATGAGGAGAATGAGTGTCTGGGAAAGGAAGAGAAGTTGGTATAAGGATGAAGGTTACTAATCTATTGGGACACACAAAGAAGAGGACAGAAAGAAACAGAGAGAGGGAGAGAAAAGAGGAGAGTAAATGTAGAAGGAGGAGATAAGGAAAGTGTGGTGAAAAGAAAGAGGGCGAGGAGAGAAAGAAAGAAAGAAAGAAAGAGTTGAGATAGACAGGGGACTTGGGGAGTAGTGGAGAGAATCGGGGAGAAAAGCATTTTCTGTTCCTTTTACTTCCGATGAAAACACATTCCCTCCATCGAAGTTCATCCCGTGAGAAATCCCACAATGTAATGCAGTGTAACTCAACCCAATTATACCCTGTTTGTGTTATGGTGGCCTAGACAATGAAACCAATTTTAGATCATCCCTTTCTCCCTCTCCCTCTCTTTTCCCCCAACTCATCGTAATCCCCCTATCTCTTCCCTGTGGACGTGTTGCATGGCTCAGAGCAGAGAGACCAGGGATGACTCTATTACTTTTCACCAGATGCAACCAGCCCCATACGACCATGTACACACATAAACTCAGCAAAAAAATAAACGTCCTCTCACTGTCAACTGCGTTTATTTTCAGCAAACTTAACATGTGTAAATATTTGTATGAAAATAACAAGATTCAACAACTGAGACATAAACTGAACAAGTTCCACAGACATGTGACTAACAGAAATTGAATAATGTGTCCCTGAACAAAGGGGGGGTCAAAATCAAAAGTAACAGTCAGTATCTGGTGTGGCCACCAGCTGCATTAAGTACTGCAGTGCATCTCCTCCTCATGGACCAGATTTGCCAGTTCTTGCTGTGAGATGTTAACCCACTCTTCCACCAAGGCACCTTCAAGTTCCCAGACATTTCTGGGGGGAATGGCCCTAGCCCTCACCCTCCGATCCAACAGGTCCCAGACGTGCTCAATGGGATTGAGATCCGGGCTCTTCGCTGGCAATGGCAAAACACTGACATTCCTGTCTTGCAGGAAATCACGCACAGAACGAGCAGTATGGCTGGTCGCATTGTCATGCTGGAGGGTCATGTCAGGATGAGCCTGCAGGAAGGGTACCACATGAGGGAGGAGGATGTCTTCCCTGTAACGCACAGCATTGAGATTGCCTGCAATGACAACAAGCTCAGTCCGATGA